TTTCTAAAAAGTGAAAAATAAAAAGTGAAATTTTTGAAAAGTGAAAAATAAAAAGTGAAAAATAAAAGTGAAATAATGAAAAGTGAAACAATATTAGGAGATTTTATCATTATATGAATATTTTTGGAATTTTTATGTTTTTCAATTATTTTTTGAATTTACGATTTTTATATTACTATTATAACAATATATAACTTGAATATTTTAATAAAGATTTTAATTCTTATTCTATTAATTTTTAAAATAAATAACAAATAATGAATTTACCTTAGAATTTATATTTATTTTGTAAAATATAATAATTTAACCTTTTTTATATATCAAAAATGTAATATTTCATAAACAAAAATTATATTAAATTAATTATAATACAGAATTATATTATCAAATATTGTAAAAGATTTGAAACAATAAAATTTTAATAATATTATTAATTTTGTACTTAATTAAATATTAATTTTGTTATATATATATTAACAATCAGAAATAATACAATAATATCAAAATTTATTAATTAAATATAATAAAATATGAATTTTTTTCTTTATATAAAAGTTTTCAATTTTATTAATAAGTATTTTTTATTTTATATTATTTTTTTCAAATTTTTTTAGATTTAATCTGATAAAGCTATTCTAATTACATATAAAGTCAATTATTTTTTATATGTTTTAATTATAAAAAATAATTAACTTTATATATAATTAAAATAACTTTATCAGATTAATTTAAAAAATCTAAAAAAAATATATGTTAAAACATGTAATATTATCTTCATTTAATATAAAAATAAAAAATATTTATTAGTAAAATTAAAAATTTTTATATAAAACAAAAAATTTATATTATATTATTTCTAATTATTATTGTATATATATATCAGAAAATATAATATTTTAGTAATTATTTATAAATAACAAATATATTAAATTAATTATCAAAGTTTATATTAAAGATAGTATAACAACTATTATAATATGATTTCAAATAAAGTATCATTTAGTTGCAACTAGTTGCAGCTTATAAAATTTTGAAGTTGCAATGAATTGTAATGAATGACAAATAAGTATTATGTACTTGCTGCACTATCTCTAGTTCATATAAATTTAAATTATTTTTAATAATAAATTGAATTTATTTGTATTATTAATAATAGATTATACTATATTATAATATTTTTAATAATAATTATTTATTAATTTAATATATTAATTATATTTTTAAATATTTTTAATAATTTTTTAAATATATATTTCTTAAATTATCAGATTTAACAGACAAATTTACCTGCTAAAATTTTATAAATTTATATTTAATATATTTATATCAAAAATTAAAATATATTAAAAAAGTTTGTTTAATTTTAGTTTTGATTATATATTATATAATAGTTATTTTTACTTTTTTAATAATTATAAAAAATTATAGTTGTCTATAAGTAAAAATAAGTAAATTTTTATTATTAATCTTAAATTTTATAAATAATTTATAATAAAATTACAGAATTGATTAAAAAATTAATTAAATATTTTGAGTAATTGTAAATCAAACTTACAAATTTTATATTATATTAATAAAAAATATGTTAAATTTTTATTTTAATTTAGAAAAAGAAAAGATTAAGCTTATAAAAATTAAAAATAAATATATAAAAATAAGCTAAAAAAATTTAGTAGATAAATTTATCTGCTAAATGATTTAAAAAATAATTATATATTAAAATTTTGTATAATTAAATTTTTTGGTAATTAGTTTTTGTATTTGATATTTATTAATAATTTTATAATTAAAATATTTCTTATATTATATTATATATAATATAATCAAAATTTTAAAAAATAGCATTTTCTAAAAAAATTTTTTTTAATTATTTTATTAATTAATATTAAATAAATTCAAGTTTAATAATATTAGAATATCTAATATATTTTTGTATATAAAAATATTTAGTTATATAATTTTATATATTTTTCAAATTGTATTATATATAATACAAAGACCTAAATCCAATTCAATAACAAATAAATTTAAAATAAAAATAAATATATAATATAAAACAATAAACTTATAATAATATTATTAATTTGTATAGTTTAAATTAAATAAATATTTAGTAATTTTCTGATTTTGAATTAATTTTTTGTATTTTATATATATATAATTTTAAATTTATAAAAATATAATAAAACTTAAATACTCTTATTTTTTTATTTTGATAAATTTAGAATATATTTTCCTAATTAATATATTTTATTATTACTTAAAATTTAATTATATTTTTATAATTTTATTTTATTAATATGATTACTTGAATAATATTTTTATTTACAAATTTGTAAATAATAAAAATTACAAATAATATCAAATATATCACTTTTTTTATATATAATATAGTATTTAAATAAATAACCAAATATTTATATTTGTTATATAATTTTTTTATAGTAAATAATAAAACTTTATTAATTATTATTTAATTTTATTAAATAATTAATTTTATATAATTATAATTCTTTAGATAAAATATTTTTTTTATGAAATGAATTTTTTTCTAAAAATCTTGTCAATAACATTTGTTAAATAAACTCATAATCGAAGTACAAACAAATATATATATAGTCTATTAAAATATAAATAAACAGTTATTGTAATATTATTTTTTATTGATGTAAAATCTTTAATAAAAAAATTATATATTCATAAAATTATATTATAATCACAAAGAAACTTAAAATACAAAATTTCTTTCAATTCCAAATTTATATAATATTTTTACTTACAAATAAAGAAATTTTTTTATATTTTCTAATTTTTTTGTTAATTTGTAAGAAAAACATAATCATTTTTGATAAATTTTCTTCAAATATTATATATGAATTTTTTTATTAAACAAATAAATACTTGCAAATTTATTTAAATAGGTACATAAAAATATAATATTAGATTAAAGTTATTTTAGGTTTGTCAAAATTATTATAGAGCCTGCTATTATTATTACAGAACTTAAAACAAAAATACAGAAAAATTATATTTGCTTTTTAATTTTAGTTAATAAATATTCATAAATGTTGAAAAATTGAAAATTAAATCCGTAGCGGTAGGACCTAACGCTAACTATAGATTAAATTTTGTAATTAATAATTATGTGTAGGACTTATAATAGCGATAGGTCAACTTTACCAATGGGTGCATGATACGTTAATACACGAATCTTACTTGAAAATGTGATTTGGAGACAAAACTAAACAATAAAAATTCAGCAAAATAATAGACTGCAAAGACAGAGACTAGCAAACTTGTTGACTGAAAGAAAAATGCTTGGATTTTGAATTGAAATTTGTAATTTAAAATTTGAACTACTCCATTTGACAAAAATTTTAAAAAATAAAAAATGCTACTATATAAATGATAGATTTTAGTCAAACTTAAAAAAAAAAAAAAGTTAGGGGTAAAAACAATCCTTATAACAATATTTTAAATTTATAACAAAATCAAAGTTTGCTATATGTAATTACAACTTTCCCTGAACAAATCTTTTCAAATTATCCTCACTAGCACACTCATCTTCAACCAGTCTCGTATCAGTTTCCGCGTCCAAAGTCCACTTAACCAACGTGGGAATACGCGAGACGTTAATACGTGGATCTTTTTTGTAAACATGGTTTGGGGACCGACGCCATCTAATAAAAACATTAACAGTCAATCAAAAGGCATAGACAGATTCAACACAGCAGTGTTTGTTTTTTCGGTTATGATATTTAAAATTTTGCAAATTTCTAATTTATCAATAACTTTGTAATACTACAATCATTACTCACTCGGATTTAGATCCTACAGGTGCTTCAATCAAAACCACTTCTGTACCTGATAATGAAGCAGAGTCGGCATGTTGATTTATCGTCGAACGAATGAGCGGATTAGCTAGAGAAAAGAAAGTTTAAAACCTGCAAATTTTCATTCAGCTTAACAAAAACAAATAAAATAAACGAAAATACCAATAACACAATCCGGACACCACGATTGTCCAGTCGACGGCTCTTCCGTTCCTATATAAAATAAACTGTTATACATGTACATATAGTGTAGTTATAAAAAATCAACGATAGAATACAAGCTTACCAAAAAAATACACAAAAACAACTGCATCCTTCTGACCATTAGCAATCTCAATTGCTGCATTAAACTTTTCAGGCTCAGTAACACGAATAATTTTCACCATATTGCTTGGGGGATAATTTGAAATGCTAATTGATATGCTAATTGATTTCTTTGTAACAATAATAACAATAAATTATTCAAATTGGATTGGTGGGATTTAATACAATTGTGACTTTTGAACTAACTTTAAAAAACTCGTACAGCCACCTTTTTAATTTATGTGAAGATGTGCTTTTTCAACAAATTAAATTACATGTAAATAACGATATCGATAATATTTTAAATCGCCCATTTATTAATCCCAGTCTATTTTCGCGAAGTTTAATGACCAACTAAGCAACAACAGCTAATAAAAATAAAAACAAAAGAAGGAAGCTAATAACTCAAAAATAATCTAGATACATAAAAGTACAATTTTTCTACACTAATAATGCAAATTACGTATATATTTATAATAAATTTCTACAGATTGAACAAATAAATATAAATTCTCCTCTATTTCACACATAAAGAGTTATATATAATAATAAATAACAATGATACAAACTATTCGAGTCTCTTCATAGATGTTTCAGTTACTATTATTAATTATTGCCACTGCTGTTGTTGTCACTATTGTCGCTAACGCTGATTCCGACGTTTGTGTCATCAAGGAGTTTGCCATCATAATTAATTCGATGTAAATTTCTTCTTGGCGCTCGTTTTACTATTTTGCTCTTGATGCAGGTACCAGCAAAGCTTTTACCCGGTTGGCATCCTTTACCACAATGAGCAGCGGTGGCACCACAGTGATTGTACTTGCTACAGCAAGGGCTATACTTATTGCATTTAGAGTTACCGCATTTTTTAGTTTTAGGGGAGGTTGGTACACTAGTTGTTGGTGAGGTTGGTGCACTAGTTTGTGTTTCTTTCGTTGATGTTTCTTTTGTTGAAACACATTTGCCGGCGAAACTTTTGCCTGCTTGGCAGCCGGAACCACAGTGATCATCGGTTGAGCCACAATAGTTATATTGACTACAGCATGGAGTGTCGGATGTGCATTCGACATTGCCACATTTCTTACTATCACTTGCTGGCTCAGATGCTTTAGGAGTGGATGAAGTGGATGTGGTGGATGTGGTGGATGTCGTGGATGTCGTGGATGTCGTGGATGTGGTGGAAGTAGTCGAACCAGGAACTTCACATTTACCATTGAAACTGTACTTTGGATCGCATCCAGTACCGCAGTAATCAGCTGTTGCACCGCAATAGCCGGAACCACTGCAGCATGGAAGAGTTGAGGTACAGCTATTTCCGCCCTTTTTTATTGAATATTAATTATTGTTTATAAATTTAAATTGTCTAATTTCACAATTAAAAATCGGAAATTTATATTTACCATGTTTGGACAACCTTTATTTTCTGGCAAATCACCTTGAGAAATAATGGTGACTATTTAAATTATTAATAAAAGGATTAATTAACAGATATTCTTTTGGTATTGTGCTTGTGTGTCATGTGCACAAGACATGTGAAACATTAAACTCAATCTGTTGGTTCGGAACAATAATTATTAATTTGGCGAAATGATAAAAACAACTTGTGTTCCCTCCAACGCATTTTGCAATTACAAAGTTACAATTCATTTACTCACAATAAGACGAATATCCATAATGTGCCGGATCTTTTCCTAACTGAATGGCGTAATTGATATCTGACTTAATATCACTAGCAACGTTGTAATTGCAAACGCCAACAGTAGGATCTAAATCCGAGCACAAATTCCTCAAAAACTGTAGATTGTTCGAGTTTCCGTAGACGAGACGTACATCTACAGCCTTGTCGGTATTGCTAGTCACAGTCCATTTCACTTGCACATCTTGGCCTTTTTTCCATGTAACCCCGGAGGCGGGCGTATTTACATTGTAGTCGGCGGCTACGAATGATGTCACCGTGGCGAGGAAAAAGGTGGTAGATAAGAAAACTTTTGATATCATTTTGTATCTAGTGTTATTATGTATGCGTGGTGGTTTTTCTATTTAGGTGGTGTTCGTTTTTTATGGTGATGGTGATAAATGACGAGGAGTGAGAGAGAGAGAAAGGAATAAAGGGAATAAAGGGAAAAGAGATAAAAGGAAAGGCGGATGATAGACCCAGGAAGATGGAACTCTCTTTATATGTAAATAGGCGTTAAAAAAAGACTCACGAGGAAAACAAGAAGAAAAAATTCGCAAAAAAGCGAATTTTAGTCTGGTATTTATACTTTTTAATATTATCGTGTCTATCCACACATGGTTGCATATTATTACTAAATACATGTACATTACTTTAACCCGCATCATTTTTTTATCTATCGTTATCCAATTAACGATAAGACAATAATAATATTTCATTTTTCCTTTCTTGCACAAATCGGATATAGCAAGAATGCGTCTGACTGGTCTTGGACACATGCATATATGCATACAATATGCATATTGTGTATGCAAACAATATGCATATATTAAATGCATGGACGCACAAGAATAATGGTCTTTTTTGGCTCTCTATTTTATGTGTTATATTTCTTTTTTTAGATGTCTGGAAATAAAGCAATGAATACTTTAAAGGAACTGAACCTTTTCATTAATTGTCAGTAATTTTATAGGTCAAAATACACGGGAAGTCGAAACCTGCTACATCTAATGAAACAATAATTCAATGAACAGTCGAATGAGTTCCAGAATTAGCTTTTTGTACTCAACAGCAGTAATAAATCTATTATTATCTTATTTTGTTTATTTGTTATCTACAACCTGTTAGATTATTATTCCGTTGGTATGATTGATTGTGTTGGTATGACGGTTTTCGAAGTTTGAAATTGTTATTTATTTCACAGGAATTTTCTTTTTTATGAACGGATATTTCACAGGCAGGCAGGTTATACATGTGAAACATTCGGGTATTTGACAATTAAATGACTCCGATCCGCCGATCTTTGGAAAATATTGCTATTTCTAAAATTAATACATAAAATGGGTCAAAAACAAGGGTCATAGTCTATATTTGGGGTACATCACGAGAGCTTGTGTTTAATTTATGAAGAAAGCAACCGCAACTACAAATAACTACTATTGAAGATACATTTATGAGAATTATTGATTCATTAAATTCCTAGTTTCAATTAACTTCATGGCTTTTAATCAATTGTATGTATAACTTTTCTATTATTAGAAGATATATTATTGATTATTTAATTCCTAGTTTCAATTAACTTTATGACTTTTAATCAATTACATGTATAATTTTTCTATCTTTAGAAGATATATTATTGATTCATTTAAATTCCTAGTTTCAATTAACTTCATGGCTTTTAATCAACTACATGAATAACTTTTCTATTACATGTATTAGAATATTCCTTGTATGCTATCGCTATTGTTATAAAGTATATATACCCTATTTGGACGCCATTATGTATGCTATGCACTAATGTACACAATATGCGCAAAAGTCATCGGAATCATATCATTTTTAATTTACCAATAAAAAAACAAAGTTTTCTTAAAAATAAGGGTTTAACGCGCATAGGATTTAATTTTTTACTCGCTCTGTTTCTACTACAATAAATACAGCATAAAAAATAAACTGATTAAATTTTATTTGAGAAATAGCATGTAATTACACGCATAATACGTAAATCTTGTCAAATGATGTCAGAAAGTATCAATGCACTGCATTCAATTATCTGTTAAATTGATATGATCTACGTAAAGTTTATTTTTCTGACGCATATCTTTTTTCTTAACGTCCAAACTTGGCAAACAAATTAATCTAAGTATGTACGTTAAATTAAGTATGATTTAAGGTTGCAAGATCAAATAAACTGTAAAAAACAAGAATCATGGAGTTCATTTCAGAAATACTACGTATATACACAAAGAATCTAGAACTTTATGAAAGTCCAATTTGAATTGGTGAAATAAATTTTATTTTTCGATTTTTTAAGAAAACAAGAACTTAATTAATGAATTTTTACGCATCGCGTACACATTTACGGCCACTAGAAATTATTTGGTGGTCGACTACTTGCAATTACGACTTTATCGCCTAATTGTGGAGTTTTTCGACAATTTACTTGCATGCATGTAGTATATACATATGCTTGCTGCCCCAAAGGCCCAAAGTAAATAAATTGGGCAGCAAGTATACATATATATACATAGGCATTCTTTTTGTATTAGAAAATTGAATACCCTCGTCAATTAATTGACTTAACCTATTAAGGTTTTTAGATTTAATTATAAGTTAGTTTTTTCCATTGATAACATTCAGATCTTAATTCGCAAAACATAATCAACTTGAAATTCAGTATATACGCATATTGGCGAATTTGCGTAATGAATTTACTATGAAAGCCAATCTTTGTTTTTATTGGTTAATAATGTCCAAATATAGACAAATCTCGACCATCAATCATCAATTTGAGCCAATGAAAACAAAGATTGGTTTCATAGTAAATTCCTTACGCAAATTATAACGATAATGTAAAAACCGAAATCAATCCGAAATCAATCCGAAACCAAACCGGAATTTGTCCGAAATTTGGATCCAAAACCGAACCATTCGGAGCACTAGACAAAAGTAGTGACATTATTGCAAAAAAGAACAGCAAATTTAGGTTGAACATACTGTTTGAATTATCAGCGCCGGCGGTTGTGTATTGGCGTTTTCGGTAATACTTTATGTATTTTATTTTTCGATGTTATTGATTATAAATACATATTATATTTCAAAAAGTCGGATTCGAAGACAGAATTGAACTTGTTACAAGAGTTGATCAGTTACTTTTAAATTCGCGTAATGAATGAAGAAAGATTATTAAAGCATTGCTGTTTAGTTATTTCTCTGTTGGGAATTAAGATTGTCGGTCATTAGTTATCGTTATGTTTATTTCTATATTGATATTAACGTTAATAAATAATCTTTTTATTTATACGTAGGATTGGTTGTATTAATTTACAAAAATAAATTTGAGCTAATCCTCCAAAAACCACTACGTATATTGAAGTGGATCTCCACGTTTTGGCAATTACGAACTAGCCCACCACGTTCTCTATTGTAAAATGAAAATACTTATTCGAATGATCATGCGTCTTGTCTCCCAATTCCCGATTTAAATTTTATTTAGTCACTTTTGATTATAATCCCTATTACGCATACCATCAAACATTTGTATTTTATAAAATGGATAAAATTCTTTATTAAGAAATAATACAAAATTTAATCTGTAAATATGCTCAGAAAGGGCCTATTCTATCATATTTATGGATTAAATTTTGTATTTACTTCTTAGTAAAGAGGTTTATCCATTTATAAAATACAAATGTTTGATGACTTTAGATGGTATGCACCATATAGCTAAACTTATATGATATCAGTGATCCGATTTAAATTGCAAACGATTCTGTCGAAGTATAATTACACCAGATAACTATAAATATCAATCGAGATTGAGCTTCCATTATATTAGATATTATTTGTTTCAAATAGAAAGAATATATATATATAAAATTAATGAGCTTTGAAAGCTAATAGCACATTACACAAAGATAATACAAAAAAAGGAGACCACCAATTTGTAGTTAAGTTAATTTATTATATTGTAGATAATATAAGATATTCACTTTTAATTTATTTATGAATAATCTAATTGTAACAACTATTACATATAATAACTTCAATATTAACCAATTATATATTCAGAATTTTAATTCTAACTCTAATTCAGATTCTAATTAGCCAATTATAACATGGTTACAAATACATTTATTCTTTATTTATTATAACTTAATAATTAATCATCATATAAAAAATCTCTCTTATAGATTGATAATTTATTAATAAAACTATAATTTTGTAAGAGAATAAAGAATTTAATAGTCAAATTAATTATTATATATAAAATTTATAATAAAAAATAATATAATATTAAATATTTTATGTTATTTAATATATAACTTAGTAATCTTTTCGGATTTATATTGAATATACCAAAAAAAATATGACTTGTATTAATTAATTAAATTATATTATATTATTTTTAACTAATTAAATTATATTAAGTTATCTTTAATTAATCAAATTATATTAAATTATTTTTGATTTTATTGATTATTCTATTAATTATTATTTGCTAATTATATATTATATAATTAAAATTATATAATTTTTTTATATAATTTTAATTTAATATTCATTTTAAAAAAATCTGATTTTTATTATATTACTAAACTTTATTAATTAAAAATATTAGACTTATATAATTAGAACTTTATATAATTATCTTTTATATAATTATAAAATTAATATAATTATATTTTTTCAGTTTTTGATTTATTATTAAATATAAAAAATTTGATTTTATATAGTTATATTTCTTTATACTTATATTTTGAAAATATAATTATTGTAAATCTAATTATAATTATATTTTTGCAGTTTTTAACTTATTTTAAAATATAAAAATTTAATTTTAATATAATTATAATTTTTTATAATTATAATATTTATATTTTGAAAATATAATATATTACAAACTCTTAAAATATATATATCAATTTTAAACTGAACTCAAATTAGATTCAAACTTATAATAATTTAATTTAAATTTAATTCAAACTTTGAATTCAAGCCAAAATTTTATTCAAGTTCAATTCAAATTTAAACAAAACTTCAATTTAATTCAATTTATAAAAATATTAAATTTATTTAGTAAAACAAATATAATAATAATATTTTTGTTTAAATTAAATTACTAAATATTAAAAATTAAATTCTTGAATATTAAAGTATATATTATAAACTATTAATTATATTTAAAATATAAAGATTTATAAAAATTTTATTAATTTACAAATATATAATTGAACAAGTATTATATTATATTACATTATATTATATTATATTATATTATATTATATTATATTATATTATATTATATTATATTATATTATAT